AAGACCCACGCGAGAGCGCGACTTCTGTATACGTTGTGAGGAAGTCCCGCGCGAGAGCGCGATGTGGGAATCCATTGCGAGGAAGTATCAGGCGGGAGCCGCTGTTATTGTAAACTGAGGGCCACAGACACAATCGTAATGCTCCTGAGCCATTGTAAACTGAGAGCCACAGGCCCAATTCTGACAGCACAACCTTTATCCTTATAAAAAACTAGGGTGCGAGCCCCGGGAAGGGCACTTCAATTGAACAGCGCAATCTGCCCCAGAGGGGGGACCAACAATAATTATTCTTCAGGAATGGGAATTCAAAAAGTGGCACCACCAACACCCACATCAACACACATTTTAATATAATTCGTTCTTCCCTGCTCGCGTGCCATTCAACACGGGTATCCCAAACCCTCCAGACCAGCCTTGCTCGTCTTGGGTCGCACCCCAGTTGGGATACATCTGTCTTACATGAAGGTGTATTTCACGCAACCCATAAGGCAGGGGAAGAGAGGACAGACGGAAGAGACAGACCTGGGGCAGGCGGGTTGCTGAAGCGTGCGTCCTGCATGAGTCGCGAGGAGGTCTCGAGCGACAGCGCGATTCCCAAGTACATCGGGCGGAAAGCCGCAGCGAGAGCGTCGAGGACGCGGCGCCTGAATACGTTGTGAGGGTGTCCCACTCGAGAGCGCGCTTCCTATACATATATATATATATATATATATGTATGTTGAGGAGGTTCCGCGCGAAAGCGCGATTTGGGAATACATTGTGAGGACGTGTCAGGCGGGAACCGTTGCTGTTGTTGTAAACCGGGGGCCAGGGGCGCAGTTTGGTAACACCCCATTTTCCGTTGTCAAGATCAGGGTGCGAGCCCCGGAATAACCGTTTCAACATTTATAAAGTACATTGTTTACCAGGCAGGGGGTGTCAACATTAATTGTTCTAACAATCAAACAATCCAAGCAATCCAAACAACCGATTCATTCATTTTAGACACGAGAAGCCAAACAATCCATGAAACAGCTGCAACACAACCACAACAACAGCCCAAACAACAACAGCAACAAAACCAACAACAGCAGCAGCAACAACAACACAGCATCAACAACCACTACAACAACGGCTCCCGCCCGATAGTTTCCCACACTGTATTCGACATCGTTTTTTTTTGTTGTTCGCAAGCTCGCTCAGAACTTCATCGCAATTAGTGGAGACGCCGCGTCTTCGACTCTCAGGAACCACGCTCTCGTTTCGGACTTCAACACGATTTGCTTGGGAATCGCGATGTCGCTCGAGACTTTCTCGCGCTTCATGTATAACTGTCGCTTCAGCGACCGTCTGAGCTATCCTGCTCAATCCTCTTTGTCCCTTCCTTCCTCCACATACCCCGTTTCAGGGACTGCGCAAAGTACGCGTGGCTGGCAAGGGACATATACCCCCAAGAGGGGCACGCTCGTAGACGAGACGGGCAGTTGAGGGCATTATACTAATAATATATATATATATATATATATATATATATGCGTGCACACATGTGGAGTGACACTAGGCAGATAAGAACAAAACTACTTAACATAATTGAAGTTGTTGTTACAGTTCCATTACCAATGAACATTGCTGGCCCCCCTTTTCATATGTGCTTTCCAGAGTCTTGCGCCTCAGACTTGGTTGGTCCCTGGTTTTAACTACAGGAGCTTCCGCCTGATAGATCTTCACAACTTATGGAGAATTCCATTCTTCGCTAAAGACTTCCTTGCAATGTGGACAGGAATCGTGCTCTTGCCTGGGACTGCCCAAAAACTGATTCACACATCGATACATCGAGCTTCTGGCGCTCTGGAATCGCCCTCTCGCTCGGAACGTCCTCAGATTTGCTCAGGGAGCGCGCTCTCGCCAGAGACGTCCCTGCGATCCCTTCGTGTGCCAGTCCCCCTCGTCCTCCACCTCCCTCCCTCCCCGTTGCCCCCTTCCTTCATCCTTCCCTTCCCTCCCCCTGGCCGTCTGGCTCAAGCTCCATTCCGCCATCCTCGGCGAGAAGGGGCTCCCCATCGAGCTCAGTCTGAGGACCAGCTTCCTTCGTGCCCTCCACGCGGACCACCTCTGCCTACCACGCTCCACTTGTGGAGGCTCCTGCTTTGTGATGTGTTGCTGCCGTGCCGATTCCCATTCACGCCTACTGGCAGTGCGCCACGGCCCGCTGTCCAGGCTGAGCGTGGCCATGCAAAGGGAAGCGGAGGCGCCGATACTGCGGCAGTGCATTCCATTTCCGACCCGGGGCTCTGAGCTGCCTCAACGGGTATACAGCACTTGAGCGATACATCGTCCGTTCTGTTCCGCCTCCCCGGCGTCGCGCTTCATCAGCGAGGGCCGTACTACACTCAGCGGCAAACCTGCAACAGGTTGATCAGAAAGAGGGGGAGGAAGAGGGCTAGCGAGGTGGGGCATGAGTTCGGACCTCGCAGGGAGGCACCCCAACTGGATGGCAACGCCTGCTGGGAGCTGAGGGCAGGTGCACCCTTCTGGCCGCACGGCCTTGGAAAGTGGCACCGGACGTAGCGGGAGGTGCCCTTTGCTTGGCGATGCAATGAGGTCTTTACCGCCCCGCTACGCGCCGTTTCCGCGGTGGGGGTCGAACAGCTATGCAGCACGCCTTCTCGCTCTTCCTCCTCTTGCTCCTCGTTGTCGTCCTCTTCCGCCCCTTCTTTCTCATCCTCGTCGCCCTCGTTATCTTCATCCTCCTACAGCCCTCCCTCTACACGCCCGTTCCCATCCTGATCTCCTACGCTTCCTCTTCCTCATCTTGCCGCTGCGGCCTCACTTCCCTCCCCACTGCTCCTGCTCTCCCCCCGCTCCTGTTTTGCTCCTCGTCCTCAGTATCCCACGCCCCCTCCCTCCTCCGCCACCTGCGCCTCTGTGGACCGAGCGGCTCCAGGGCCGAAGCGTGCCGTTGTTGGCCTCCGTCTGCGAAACCTGTCGTGCCCGTAGCTGCCCTGATACGCCCGTGCTGAGACTCAGGAGGCACCGTGTTCAAAGCGTCCGTGCTGGCACGCTGCGTGCTGGCTCGGCAGATGTTGGCCCACGTTTTGGCGAACGCCTCGCGCCAGATCCACGTATTCAGTCTACGTGTTTTGAGCTCCGTGTCACCACGCTATGTGTTGCGTGATGTAGCAGGGGAGAGGACGCATACACATATGACCGTCGACCCCCAGGAAAATGACGAAAATATGGGAAGGGGAGAGGAAGGCGAACATCAAAATGATATAGAGGATCCTGGGATTTGTGTTTATATGTGCGTGTGCGTGTGTGTGTGTGTGTGTGTGTGTGTCTGTGTGTGTCTGTGTGTGTCTGTGTGTCTGTTACCGGGCCCCGTCAGTGTTGCGTATCGGTGCAGCTTCGTCCGTGCCTCGCGGCCTCGGGCCCAGCCGTCCGTGATGCGATCTGCCTACGTGGCCGTGCTGTCGGCGGCCGTCCTGCTGCGCGTGGGCGCCGCCCGGCGCCGGCCTGCGCCGGGCAGCCCCTCCGGCTCCGCGGGCAACGCCTCGCACGCCGCCGGGACCGCGCTCCTCGAGGACCCTCGGAGGCCGCCTTTGCTTGGCGGCGCGCAGAGGGGGGTAGGGGGAGGGGGGAAGGCTTCTTAGAAGCACCCCTGCTTCTTAGAAGGTGCGGGCCTTCTCTGTAGATGTAAGGCCGGCGCCTTCCAAGAAGCAGCCTCCTCCTCAGAAGCCTTCCCCCCTCCCCTTACCCCCTTCTGCTCGCCGCCAATTTGCACACCCACCGCTGAAGTAGGTCTTTTTGGAAGTTCATGTCAATGTCAATATGCAGCCTGCCCCTCTCTGCACGTTTGTGAGGGCTGGCCACGGCCGCCGATAACCGCTGAAGGCTGCCAAATGCCACTAAAGGCTGTTGAAGGCGGCGTCAGGCAACGAAGGGCCGCTAACCAAACACTAAAGACCGCTAAAGGCTACTGAACCAAGGCGGTACAGTCGGGGCCCTGAAGAAGGAACCCTTTTCGTTGGGGAGCGGCTCCGCGTTCCTTACTTGTTTCACAGTTTGTCTCAGGCTTTCCTTAGGTTTTCGATGGGGAATCGAAGTTTAACTTATGGAGAAAAGGGGCCTCGTTCCTTATTTAGGGTTCCTTAGGTCAACGCCCGACTGTACATGTTAGAATGAACTTTCAAAACGACTCTCCCAACAACGCTCCAGGTCTTCCCCCCCGTCCCTCCGCTATCCCCCCTCCCTCCGGCGGCGAAGTCCGAACCCTACCCTCGCCAAGCCTCGATTCCGGCAGCTCGAATGGCGGCGGGGGGAAGGGGTTCGGAATTCGTCGAGCACATGGCGAAGTCCTCATACTGCTTTGCTTCGAAGAGTTCTGGAGAATCGATGGCTGGTGGGGGTAGGGTTCGGGTATCGCCACCTACTGCTTCGCTCTTCCCTCGCTCTCTACCAAGGGTCGTGGGCGAACATATGCGTGTCCGCGACCTCGCGGGCCGGGCCCCTGGGCCGCGACCCCGCGGACGCGGGGCGTTGTTTTTTTTTGCGGTTGCCACGCGCGGAACGTACCCGTGCGACCGCGTAATCCGCGGGGTCGCGCCGCAGATTCTAGACCGGGAGGGCGCGTTTATGGACACGGTCGCCGCTCGTGAAATTGGAGATTGCCGGGCACGCGCAGAAGGGGGTAATTAGGGGGAGGGGGGAATGCTAGAAGTACCCCTGCCTCTTAGAAGGCGCGGGCCTTCTTTGTGGGTGTAGGGCCAGCGGCTTCTAAGAAGCAACCTCCTTCTAAGTAGCCTTCCCCCCCTCCGCCTACCCCCTTGTGCGCCGCCAAGATGGGGGGGGAGGTGGGCTGGGGGATCTGCTCCGAGATCGTGGCGCGGGCCCTCCTCAGGACCTAGGCCCCTCGCTCAGTGCTGCCGGCCCCCACCTGGTGCTGCCCTTGGCCGCCCCAGTGCCCGAGCGGATCAAGGGCGACCCTCGCCAAATGACCCGCCTGATGTCATTGATGGAGGCGCATGCTGCCGAAGACCTGCGGTCGGGGAAGGCCAACAGGACTCGAGGAGCAAGCAACAATATACATGTCGCCGCGCCGTTTAATCAGACGCGCGGCCTTACGTCTTGGGGGGGAGCCTCGGCCACCAGGGCAAACGCCGCCTCGGGCGCGGTGGGTTTGCCGTGGGTTTGCCACGGTGCCGGCTTCGTCTGCTGGGGCGCGGGGCACAGGGCTTGCCGTAGGTTTGCCGTGATGTCTGCTACGTCCACTCGAACGCGTTCAGAACAAATGGCGCGGCGACACATGAGCATGACCTCTCGGAGGTCCACGCCAGTTTCTTGGCAGCCCTCGCGGCGACCCACGAAATCCGCGTGGACCTTTGAAAGTTCACGTCTGTGTTGTGCTTGTTCTCCTAAGGACAAACGAGACCGTCGGCGGGGGGCCCATCTGCCACGAGCTCAAGAAGGTGAAGGTCAGAGGCCACGCCCTGGGGCCGGTGCTCTGGCTGGTCTGCAAGCTCTGGCCCACGAAGACCTTCGGGCATTTCCCCATATCGAGTGCGGAGGACGCCGAGAAGATCGCGGCGCTCCTGTTCATCCCCTCTGGCGTGTTCGACTCGATCAGGAGACAGAGAGGGGGGACAGAGAGAAGCTAGGATGAATCGATGATGCTGCTTCACACCACCCAGTCCGAAGTCTGCCCTCTCATGGGTCCCCACAAGCACCCTTTTTCATCGTCCGTGGCCCTTTTGGCTCAAGTCGTTTGACACCGAGCTCTGCCGGCTCACGCGCCCTAGGCCACGCGCTTGTCTGCCCAGGCCTCCGCCGAAAAAGCCACGGCAAGAGATGGCCCAGTCCGCCCTCGCCACCGCCTGCGTGCGCCGCCTACCCAGGCACCCGCGCCTTCGCGTCCGCGCCACAGAGCCGCGACCTGCGCTGCGATGCGCTGTCGGCTGCTGGCGTTATCGCCGCCGCCGCGCCCGACGCGGCCAATGCTTTCGCGCACAACAGTACAAGGGCAAGGCGCTCTTTGACGTCCTCTACGGCGTCAGCCCGCTGTGCTGAAGCATGTGCGCATATGGCATCGTGTGTTTGCTGCGCCGTGCTGAAGAACGCGATGCTCAAGTACAGGACGCCCTACGGCACCACCACCAACCCGGACGCCAGGCTGGTGGTTACCAGCAGGTTGCTAGAACAGCAAGTGGGGGCCCCGTGGGAGCGGGACATCGCCCCCGGATGCACAGCTTGCACACTTCGTACCCTGTTCGAGGGCGTTGGTTTGACTCGACGTGCAGGTCGACCGCACCTCCGTGCCACGAGCTGTCGGTTCTCGGGATGTGGAGGAGACGCATTTTCGGCTCAAGGTGAGCGCTTAGCTTTCACAAACGATTGGCAGGTGTTTGGCCGCTTTGCCAAGAAATCGGCACGCGCGGCTTCGCTTCGAGTGATTCCCACGGGAACATTCGGCGTTTGTCCCCAACGGCGCGAACCTACTGGAACGATGTGTGCAAAGTACGGCAGGGAAAGCGGACGGAACAAATATCGGCTCAGAAAACGGTCGTTGTTGCGTATGTTCGTTATTGTGGCCAGCCTGACCTCGGCATTCACGTCGCTGTAAAAGCCGCAGGCAACCGGTCGCTGTTGCACTATTTTCTGATATGGTATGTTCTGCTCTGTTTTGTTTTGTTCGGTCTGTTTAAATGATAGCTAATGTGGACCCCAAACAGTGTTTCTAGCAACGTTCGTTGTGCAACATATGTGGAGCCATCTTCGTAGTGCAGTTTATGGTGTGCTGCGCAATCTCTGTTCTGCAACCTACGCTGAGCAATATATGTGGCTCAATCGATGTTTTGCAACCAACGTGGTGCGATCGAATTTGTGAATTTGATTTTCACAAACGGGTCGACACATCCCACGCTCTTGCAAACATCCCACCCGCTCACCCGTAATTGGCTTGCAAAGCCCATGCGGGGGCGATTGAGATGCATGCTTGGCATTGGCTGGTGCATCTCTGCGGCCGCGCCAACCCAAGCACGCGCGCGCAGCGGCCAGCTAGTTTGGCGCCACCGACGCGAACGCAGTGGCGCTGACTGTTGTGCACATCCCAGCGGGCACTTCAGTGCGAGTCGTCGGCTTGGGCGGGCGCGGTATCATGGCAACGCCGACAATTTTAGACACCATGATGATAGTAGCGATGCTGGTGACGATGCTGACTGCGAAGACGGGGCAGCCAGTGACGGCGCCAATGGTGATCACGCCGACGACGATGTCGGCGTTTTCGCGTCGGTGATGCAGGTGTTGGAAGGAGGTCGAAATGTTCGTCATGCGCGCGCGGCAGACGCGCGAGAGTCGCGCGATCCACCCCATCACGCGCGCAAGGGCGGTCGAACAATTTCGACATGCCCGCGCGAAGCCTGCTTGGTTCCACGTCATGAACACGTTGAAAAAAATCCATGTTTGTTTTTTGTTGTAAAAAATCGCGAGAGCGCGCGTTTGTTTTTTGAGGGAATCCGTGTTGCGAAACCTTGTAAGTTTATATAATGTTTTTTTTGCTGCCCCTCGTTTTGTTTGAAATACTTACGGCATCTGTGGTTTTTCGAAAGGATTCCGGCATGTGCGCGCGACGACGCGCGCGTGTGCTCTTCGCCCCATTGTTTGCCATGGGCTCTTGCAACTTATAACTTCTGATACACGGGAGCGCGCGCATAACATTTGTTCCTGAGGATCATGGGGGGGACAATACTGGCCTGGTTGGATGGTACGAGCTCAAATTTAGGATGGGCGAAAGGGGCAGAATCAATTGTAAATTGCAGTACGAATAGGGGTGACCATAATCCCGGGGGGGTCGAAACTATTCTCTTTTCATGAAGGAGAATTCACGTTGTGCCATCTACGAAAGCGCGCCAGTGGATGGCCCTGACTGCAAAAAGGGGGGGTGGGTGCTCGCAGAACCTCCCCTCCTTCCCTTCCTTCACAGGGGGGGTCAGATTTTCGAACCCCTCCCCCCCCCTTCCCCTCCCCCCTCTCCCCCCCTTGGCTCTGGAAAGGTGGGGGGGTCGAACCCCCCCCCGTCCCCCCCTTTGCGCCGAACAAGGGGCTGGGGAGGGGGCTTCTCGGGTAGTGAGTAGAGAGTAGAGTGTTTTGAGTAGCGATTGGTGAGTCGTGGGTATTTGATAATGAGTAGTGCGCAGTGGGTCGTGAGTCGTGCGTAGTGGGTAATGGGTAGTGGTAGTAGTGAGCAGTGCGCAAAGATTAGTGAGTAGTGGTTGGTGGTTGGTGAGTAGTGGGTAGTGCGTAGTGGGAAGGGAATAGAGAGTAAGGCATGAGGAGTAGTGAATTGTGAGAGGTGAGTAGTGTGTAGAGAGTAGTGCGTAGTGAGTAGCATGCAGGGAGTAGGGATGAGGGGGTAGACAGTAGCGAATAGCGAGGAGTGAGTAGTGAGTAGTGAGTAGTGCGCAGGGAGTAGAGAGTAGTGAGTAGTGAGTGGTGAGTAGCGAGTAGGGCCTTGTGAGTAGTGGGTAGTGAGGAGGGAGTAGTCAGGAGTCAGTAGTGAGTAGGGAGTGGTGCGCAGCGAGTAGGGAGTAGCGAGTAGTGAGTAGTGAGTAGTGAGTAGGGAGTCGTGAGTAGTGAGTAGTGAGTAGTGAGGAGCGAGAAGGGGGTATTGAGTAGTGGGTAGTGATTAGGGAGATGCGAGTAGAAATTAGTTAGAAGTGAGTAGGGAGACGTGAGTAGTGAGTAGTGAGTAGCGGCTTGCGACTAGTGACGAGTGACTAGTGAGTAGGGAATGGGGAGTAGTGAGTAGCGAGTAGTGCGTAGTGGGTAGTGCATATGTCGCATTGGGTAGCGAGTAGCGGATGGTGAGTAGTGAGTTGTGGGCATTGGTGTAGTGAGTTGTGAACTGTGAGTACTCAGCAGTAAGTAGTGGATAGTGGTTATTGGGTATTGTGTAATGCTTAGTGAGTAGTGAGTAGTGGGCAGTGAGTAGTGTTTAGTGAGTAGTGATTATTGAGTACTGGGTAGTGAGTAGTGGGTAGTGCGCTGGGAGTAGTGAGTAGGGAGTAGGAAGTAGTGAGTAGTCAGTAGTGGGAGCGTAGTGAGTAGTGAGTAGAGGTAGAGAATAGTGCGTATCGGGTAGCGAGTAGGGCGTTGGGATTAGCGAGTGGTCAGTAGTGAGTATTGTGTCAGGAGTAGGGAGTAGCGAGTAGCGAGTAGTGGATAGTGAAGAGTGCACTGCGGGGAGTGAGTAGTGAGCAGTGTAGTATGAGTAGTGAGTAGTGGATAGTGTTCAGTGGGTAGTGAGTAGTGATTTGTGATTAGTGAATAGTGGGTTGTGAGTTGTGTTTATTGAGTAGTGAGTATTGAGTAGTTTGTAGTGAGTATGTAGTGAGTAGTGAGTCGTGAGTCGTTTGTAGTGAGTAGTGAGTAGAGAGTAGGGGGTACTGAGTAGTAGGTAGTGTGTCGTGAGTCGTGGGTAGTGAGTAGTGACCCGTGAGTAGCGAGTAGTGAGTCGCGAGAAGTGAGTAGTGAGTAGCGAGTAGTGAATTGTGTGTGGTGAGTAGTGCGTAATGAGTACTGAGTGCTGTTTGGGGCTAGGGTTTGGGTTTGGGGTTAGGGTTGGGGGCTTGGGTAAAGGCGAGGAGTAGTGTTAGGGGTGGTCGGGGTCGGGTTCCGGAGACTGGGGGCGCCGGGGCGAAAAGGGAGGGGGGGGTCGAATTTGGCGGCCGAAGGGGGGGAGGGACGGGGGGGTCGGAACGAGATTCGGTCTCTTTACAACCACAACAACCACTTTACAACCAGATGGGTTACTTTACAACCAACATAGGATTGGAAAGTATGGTTTTCCATCGAGAACGTCCTCTTTGCAACCAGAACGGCCCACTTTACAACCAGAACGGACCACTTTACAACCAGAACGGGCCACTTTACAACCAGAACGGACCACTTTACAACCAGCTCAGAGTGGCCGTGCGTGTTTGGGCGTTCCGCACAGCGCTCTAGAGCAAGTGGGCGCGCTGAAACATGCCCCAGAACAAGCGGGCGCTCTGAAAAATGCTCCAGAGCAAGTGGGCGCTCTCAAAAGTGCCCCAGGGCGCGCGGGCGCTCTGAAAAATGCTCCAGAGCACGCGGGCGCTCTGGAGCCCGAGCGCCTGAACGCTCTGCGCAGGCCCCAGCGACGCCTCTGGGCCCGAGCGCCTGAACGCCTTGCGCAGGCCCCAGCGACGCCTCTGGGCTGGGGCTCGACGGCTGCGGTTTCGGCAAGGTCGGTTTCCATTCCCGCTGGGCGCGTTCTCCTTTGACGTGCCTTACTTCCATGTCTACCTACTGGGGCGTGTCCACCTCCGCGGTCACCGCCATGTTCAAGACAGTGGTCGGGGTCTTCACCAACGGCCTCGTATTGAACCCCTTCGACTGCAGTTTCCACTGCAACCCTGCTACCACCACACTTACCGCTGCAGCCCCGCTACCTCCGCAATTCTGACTGACCCCCCGCTACCACTACAGATCCCATTGCAGCCCAGCTACCACCGCAGTTCCCACCGCTGCCTGGCGACCGCCACAGTTGCCACCGCAGCTTCCCAACACCATGCAGTTCCCATTGTAGCCCCCGCTACCACCACATCTCCCACTACAGCTTCCCAGTGCCATGCAGCTCCAGTCTTGGACAGGATCATGGTTCATTCGTATGTCCTGCGCGAGTAGCCTTCGCCCGGCAGAAAAAAAAGCAGAGCAAGCGCTGGCAGAACTGACCGAACGAGCTTAGAGAGCAGGTCAAAACCATAATCCGCCCACCAGCACGCAACGTACCATAGCGCACCAGGTCGTCGCATCACCAACGCGCGCGCAGTGCGCGATGGGCAACTTTACAACCAATATGCCTCAAAGAGCCCAAAGCCACCCTTGCGCTTGCCCACGGAGATTTCAGGGAAAGGCCCGCGTGCGTTCAATATGCGTTTCCACTTGCCTGGTCGTAAAGTGCCCTTCCTGGTTGTAAGGTGCCCTTCTCGGATTTTGCAAGCTGGTTGCAAAGTGACCCATCTGGTTGTAAAGTGCGCTTCTGGTTGTAAAGTGACCCACGCGCCCCCCCCCCCTCCCTTCCCTTTTGAAAGGGGGGGAAGGGGGGCGGGGGGGTTCCCGACGACGGACCGGGAAAGGGGGGGAGGCGGGGGAGGTCTCCCCGACGACGGATCGGGAAATGGGGGGATGGGGGGGGGGGGTCCTCGACGACGGATCGGGGAAAGGGGGGTGGGTCCCACCCTCCCCCCCCTTTGGGTCATCCAGCAGCGCGCCCTCGCCATCTACGTCGTGCAGTTTAAGTTGTGTATTGTATTTAGGGAAAATTCTGTGGTGCAATATACGTTTTGCAAATTATGGTATGCAATATATAAATGTACAAGTGGTGCGAAGTATGAGTAGTTAAAGTGGTGTGAGCTATGCGTATAGCAAATGCTGTGCGTTCTAAGTGGAGCAACCTGCGTAGTGCAATCCAGGTTGTGCAATTGATGCTGTGCGATATACGCGGTGCGGTCTACGAGGTGCAACTCATGTTTTGCAGTATGTGTACAGCAGCGTCAGTTGTGCAATCCACGCGGTGCTGTTTACATGGTCTAATGTATACATCGATCTGTCTATGGTGAGTTGGTGAGCAAACTTTGCTGTGCGATCTATGTGGTGCAGTGTCTGTGGTGCAAACTTTATGGTGCAACCAATGTTGAGCAATCTAGGATGCTCGTTTTATGCAGTGAGCAGCCGAAATTGTGCAACTTACTCTGTGAAATTCCCGTTGTATTGTTTAATTGCCGAAGTTGAAGTTGTCAACTTCACAACCGGTGCTATCACCCCACCCACCCACCCGCAACTTGGTTTGCAAAACCCATGCAGGAACGATTGCGATGAGTGATTGGTTTTGGCTGGTAAATATCTGCGGCCGCGCATGCTCGCGCGCGCAGAGGCCAGCTAGTTTGGCGCGCCCGACGCGAACGCAGTGGCGCTGACCGCTCGGCACATCCCAGCGGGCACTTCAGTGCGATTCGTCGACTTGTGCGGGCGCGGTATTATGGCAACGTCGACAACGGTAGGCACCATGACGGCGACGGGACTGCGACGGGGGGGCAGCCAGTGACGGCGACGATGCTGATCACGCCGGCGACAATGACGGCGTCTTCGCGTCGGTGATGAAGGTTTTGGAGAAGATTCAAAATGCGCGCGCGGCAGACGCGCGAGAGTGGCCCGCCTGGTGATATTTGACACGGATCGTTCCACCCCAGCACGCGCGCAAGGGCGTTCGAACGATTTCGACATACGCGCGCGCGAAGCCCGACTGACAGCATGCGGCGACAATTGCGAAAACAAGCCCATTCTTTTTGAAGGCTCGCAAAAGCGCGCAAGTTTATTCTGGAAGCCTTTGTTGCGGAACCTTGGTTTAAACTGTTGCTTGGAAGTTCGATTTTGAGATCCTTACGACACCGAAGGTGTTTGAAGGATTTCGGTATGCGCGCGCGACGACGTGCGCGTGCGCACTTCGTCTTATTGTTTGCAAAGGAGTTTCGGAAACAGCCGATGTTTGATAAACGTGCGCGGGCGTATAGCATGTGTTCCACAGGATGGCGGGGGGTCTGTACCGTCTGGGCTAAAATGGTACGGTGTCATATTTAAGATGAGCGATAGGGCAGACACAGATGCAAATTGCAAGCCGGAAAAAAGAGGTACCGAGAATTGTGGGGGAGTGATTCTATTCTCTCTTCTTTGTTAGAAATGCGAATATGTGCTCTTCACTATGGTCTTTATACTATATGGTGTTATGTTCTTCACTCGACCGCCCAGACTGACGTCGCAACGCCTGTCAAGTTTGATGTGTCGTCCAGTAGGTTATATTTGCGCCTGTTTGTTCATGCGGCCAGCCTGACCTCGGAACGCACGTCGCCTTAAATAGGACTCTGTTGATCGGTTGGTGGTTCTGCCTTTCCTGTTATATTATGGTGGATCCGACGTTGTGCTTTGTGTGAAGGTCATGTAAGGTATGCTATGTTGTAGTATTTCCAACATACTCCACAGTCGTCCCCATCATGTTCTGTGTATTGTCCGCTATGGTTCTCGCACCTGTTCAGCCATGATAGGTTTCAATCTCTGGTTCAATATTCAAAGTACACCGCATTATGTTAGATGACAAGTCGTTATGACTCGTATCGTAGATGTTGTATGGCTTGGGATGTTACGCCATCGTCTCGTGCAATCAACCATTTCCTGCTATGTCAGGTCCACGTTTCTCTTTCGACGGGTTGGATATACATGTTGTTTCACTGACCTTTCATAAGTTAGGTGATGACAGGTTCCGGTTATGTGCGCTTATGGTGTCTTGTGTAGTTATAGTATGTTATGCTCTGAGGTGCTCACGCATTCCGCATGGTAGTTGTATGGTGTTTTCCTGTTTGCCAGACGCATTTGTTCCCACCAACCATCCGGTGGTGCTCGGTCCTCGTCGCCTGCCGGCGCCCAACGGGCACGTGACACGAAGCCCCACACGCGCTTTTTGGAGGCGGGGCGGGCGAGGGGGGATGCTCCCCAGAGCGGGGGGGGTACGGCCTACAGGGCAGAATGATTGCTTTCCCTACCATCCTGTGGTGTTGGGTCCCCGTTTTGAAGACACGGCGCCCCGCGTTCCTCCTCTCCTCTCCTCTCCACCTCCCCCTCTTCCCTCCTCCCATCCTTGCTCCTGTGTTCCCCATCCGGCACAGCGTTTCATGACCCCATACGGGGCCTCCACCTAAGGCCCCAGTGGCGGTGTCCACGTGCGTCCCTCCACCCAGCGCGACGTTTCGTGGCCCCCTATGGGGCTCCACCTAAGGCCCCAGCGTCGGTGTCCACATGCGCCCCCCCCACGCAGCCCGGCACTTCGTGGCCCCATAGGGAGCTCCACCTAAGACCCCGATGGTGGTGTCCACATGCGTCCCCCCCCACCACCCACCCAGCACAGCGTTTCGTGGCCCCAGAGCTCCACCTAAGGCCCCAGTGGCGGTGTCCACGTGCGTCCCTCCACCCAGCGCGACGTTTCGTGGCCCCATAGGGAGCTCCACCTAAGTCCCCAGTGGCGGTGCACACCTGCGTCCCCTTTCACCCAGCACACCCGGTAGGGAGCTCCACCGAAGGCCCTAGTGGTTGCGTTCACATGCGTGCCACGCCGATTTTGGCACACCCCTCACACGATTCGTGGCACCATAGGGAGTTCCACCGAGGCCCGAGTGGATGTGTTCACATGCGTCCCTGCGCCCATTTCGGCACATCCCTCACACGGTTCGTGGCCCCATAGGGAGGCCTAGTGAAGGCCAGGTTGCTTTCACATGTGTCCCGCGCCCATTTCGGCCGTGGGGAGCTCCTCCGAAGGCCCCAGTGGCTGTGACCACGTGTGTCACCGCCACCCATGTCGGCACACCCCATTGCACGCATCGTGGCCCCATAGGGAGGCCCACCGAAGGCCCCAGAGGCTATGACCACGGGCGCTCCCGCTGCCCATCTCGGCGCAGACCCGAAACACGCTTCGTGGCTCCAGAGGCGGGCTCCGCCGAAGGCCCGGGTGGCTGTGGCCACGTGCGTCCCCGCGACAGATGCCGGAACACCCCTCACGCGTCTCGTGGCCCCAAAAAGGGAGCTCCACCGAAGGCCGCAGTGGCTGTGACCACATGCGTCCTCGCCATCCCTGTTCGGCACACCCCTCGCACGTACCGTGGCCCCACGGGGAGCTCCACCGAGAAGAATACGCACCGCTGCTGCATTCACAACTGCATATGCTTGGGCTCGTCGCTGAGATAATGTGCCCATGAGAGGCGTTTCATCTATGTTTCTTTGTGCGTGGCCCCCTCGAGGTCTGAACCAGTCCTTCAGAGTTTTCCAGACGCGAGGAGGCATTGGGGGGAAGAGGAGAAGGGGGTCGAGGGCCGACCCAAGTCGTCTAAAGTACAATCCTCAGGTTTCCAGGTGCCTACCCTAGCCAGCTGGTCGCGCCGCTTTCTCTCCGTGGCGACAGGAGCCCGCAGACAAGCCCAGAGCGTGGCGGCACAGGCCCTCGGAAGCCCTCCGAACCGTGCCAGCCCAGCACTTTGGGCAGCGACGGTGCATAACGGCTCCTGGCACGGGGGCGTTATGTGCCGTGTTTGGGGGCGTTTTGCACCGTGCCAGGGTGGCCATTTTGAACCGCAGACGTCGGGGCAGTTTTGTACCTCGACGTCGGGCCCAGGCTGGCGAGGGTCAGGAAGGAGGGGGGACGGTCAAGAGGAGCTGGAGGGGGCGGAGGACGAGGACGAGAGTCAGGACGAGGAGGAGAAGGAGGAGGAGGAGGAGGAGGAGGAGGTTGAGGAGGAGGAGGGGGAGGAGGAGGAGGAGGAGGAGGAGGAGGAGGAGGAGGAGGAGGAGGGGGAGGAGGAGGAGGAGGAGGAGGGATGAGGGGGAGGAGGAGGGGAGGAGCAGGAGGAGGAGGAAGGGGAGGAGCAGGAGGACGAGGAGGACGAGGACGGGGTCGCGCGGGCAAGTGTGCCGGGAGGAGGCGAGGGGGCCGGCCAGGAGCATGTCGGCGGCCCGGCTCAAGAGCGAGAAGTTCTGCTGGCGGCGCCAGTACATGCGGGAGCCGCTGCAGGCTGCGGACTACACGTGCCCCACGGACATCAACGTCTCCATTGCCTCCGACGTCCCCCGGGGCCTGCTCGCCAAGGGAGGGGGATCGGGGAGGAGGACCGAGGCCTCGGACCAGACCGGGAGGAGGACCGAGGAGGAGGATCGAGGATCAGGGAGGAGCAGCAGGGAGGAGCGACCGCCTCCGACTCCCCGAGGCCTGCGCAGCAGCGAGGGGGATCGAGAACCGGATTAGAAGAATCCCTGCTGGCGTTTAAATTTGTCGGGCAGGGCTGGGACAGGAACAACATCGCTCCAAAGCTTTCCTGAAAGCTCTCAGCTCTGAGGAGGCCGCGGCTCCCGATGCATCCTCCAGAACCGCCGAATCTACGAGATTTCCGATTTATCCCTGTCCGATCATCTCCCCGTCCTGGCTTGGTTTTAATTTGTAGAATCTGCTCGGATCCGCAGGGCATCCAGGATCTCTCCTGGGGGGGTCCTGGCGGCTGCCGTCGCGCTGCTTTGCAGGCTACCCTATTCGTTTTGCTCGTGTAGTTGGTCGAGTCGGATGCCTCTTGGACGACCATGCTAACATCAGTCGGACATGCGTCTGACCTTCCTGCTTGTTTAACAGTTCTACGCTGAACATGTAAAACAGTATGTAACACATACGACATCAATCACGACTGTTTCTTCACTGCAGAACTGGCCAACATGAGCTCCGCCTTTGAGGGAGCTCTCTGGATCTTCGCAGTAGCCTCTCAAAAGCTTCTCAAGCACCTCACACTTGCCTGTCAAGAGCCTCTCAAGTGTCTCTCAGGACCCTCTCTCATGAGCCTCTCGGGTAACTTCAAAGTACTCCCTCAGGAACTTTTCAGGACCCTCGAAGCAGCCCTCGAAGCAGCCGTTCGATAGCGTCTGAGACCCTCTCAGGCCACTCCCAGCATTCTGCTACGAGGGCACTCTGCCAGGATCTGTTTTTTTCGAGCTCGGCATCTGCGGACCCGTTTCGGGCCCTGGATCAGGGACGATGTTTTACCAGCAGGTCCACGGGAGGTGTCCATGGGGCCGATTCTAAGCCGATGACGTCGAGGAAGAGGAGGAGGCGAAGGAGGAGGAAGAGATCCCAGGATCGAGGAGGCGTAGGAGCGGTCTTGAAGATCGTGGATCGATGGCTCTGGAAGCCTCCATGAGGCCTTTGGAGCCGTTCGGGGCTTCGCTCGCTTGCTCGCAATGTCGGTGAGCCGTACGGCTAGTCCGACCCCGCAGGCAGATGGGTGCGGAGTAGAAGGGAGCTGGGCCAGCACGCGGAACTTGAGTGTCTGCCTCCTTCCTGATCGTAGCTGTCGCTGCCGTCGCTGTTTTCGGGCGTACGGTCAGGAACTGCGGTTCAGAGGGTCGCTCCACTCGTTCCAGCTTACCGCTGCGCTTCGGCGCGACACGTTATTTACCAGCCTGGAACATATTCCTATCCCTACGCTGGGCACCTCCTCATCACGATGCCAATATTAGGGATTCCCTTATTTTTTGAGGGCGGATCCCTCAGATTGGCATCGCCGTTTGGCGTGTCAATCTTAGGGATAGGGATACGTTCGAGGTTGGTAAGTTATCCACGTCTCCATGCCCAGGCGTCAATGTCTTCAGCCGTTCGCGGCCCCACGCCCCGCGGAGCGGGGCGACATGCCATCCGCATGCAAGGCATGCGTGCCGCCAGGGCCGCCGCCGCGACACGCTCAGCAGAAGCTCCCGAGCCCTGCTCTGTAGACATGGTTGACGAACGAGCAACACACACCCATACCCATAGGGGGGTCATGGGGAGGAGGACTAGCTATGGGTATGGGTGCGGGTTGTCGGACCCTGGGGAACGCTCCCGTTCGAGCGGGGACCCCCATCCGACAACACGCACCCATAGCCCTCTCCGACCCCTCTATGGGTATGGGTGTGTGTTGTTGGTTCGTCAATGATGCGCTCTCACGTTGCCGATGTCTCTCGGCATGCCCAGGCGCGTCCTCGTGGGCTGTCAGGGGCCCAGCCCGTCACGCCCAGTGAGCAGGTCGTTCTGCCCATCGCTCGTTCGTCCGACGAGGGTCAGTGCGTCAGATTCCTCCGATCCCTCATGCAGATTCGGAGGGTACGGGAGGGCAAGCAGCGCGTAGAAGCAGAGAGGACCACGCTGGGGCTGTGAGGAGGCTCGTCCTCTTCTTCTTTCTCCGCACGGCCCCGTGGCAGCTTGTCAGAATGAGCGCACACCGTCGGCTCCGCTCGACTGGAGACGGGGAGTCTGGTGGGACCCGCGACCTGTAGCCCGTCCCCTGTTGCTTCCCTTCCCCTGCTGGTCGGTGCGACTCGTGCGGCTGTTCGCTGCCGCGCTCTCTCCCCGGCATGCCGGCAGAGGAGGGCGGCGTGCCAAGGCTGCATCCCTGCAAGCCGTGGGCGTCTGCCCGCTGACAGGGCACCCACGCACCCACAGGAGGCCCGCGCGTCCTGGGCGCGGCCTCAGGGAGACCCGGCGCTCGTCGACGGCAAGAGGGTTCAGAAATTGAGATTGGGCACCGCCTGAGCGCGTTTACTTCTCAACCTTGCCCCCAACCACTTGCCCATTTCATCCGCCCCGAGGTCCTCGAGGAAGACGATTACGAGCAGATGCAGGAAGGCAGCTGGAGCTGCAGGGAGTCGGAGGATGTCCCTGGGAAGGGCTGCAGTTGCGGCCGATCCGACCTACCGAGCTTCCGCCTGGACGACATCGAGAGCCTGCCAGACAAGGCGCGCGCTGACATTGCCGCTCTCTCCCATTGTTCCTCCTGGCCGTTCCTCCACCGCCTTCTTCTCAGCTCTCCCCCTCCTCCCCCCCTCTCCCTCTCCCCCCTCCCCCCTCCCCTGTTCCTTACCTCCCTTCTGCCCATCCTTCGCCTGTCTCTACCCCTGCTCCTCTTCCTGCTCATCCCTGTCCTCCTCCTGCTCCTCATTCCCTTGCTCCTCCTCCTCCTCCCGCTCCCCCTGCCCCTCCTACTGGCCCATCCTCCTACAGCCTCAGGAGAGTTTACTCCTGACGCTGGTCCATGGGCCAACGCTGGCGTGCAGCCGATTGCCTTTTAGCGAGGGCGAAATGATGTGGGTTTGCACCACATAGTTGGCAACACATGGCTTCCACCACATACTTCGCACCACCTAGCTTACACCGCATACATGCCCAGGCCGACAGTCATGTCCTCCCGCATGAAAACAAGATATCCTAGTGGATCCCGACGCGCGGCCTTACGTCTTGGGAAGAGCGCCTCGGCCACCATGGCAAGCTTAGCTTCGGAAACAGAGTCTGCTGTGAGTTTGCCGTGGTGTCGGTTTCGTCTACGTTGGCGCGTTCAGAACAATCGGCGCGGAGGCATGTGTACTTCCAGTTTATTGGAGACCCAGCTTGAACAGGATCCCCGCAGCCCTGCATCTGCAGACCAGTGCTATGATTTTATAGGGGGAAGGGCGGGGGCACAACAGCATGCATATGGCTTGGACGCAGCAGCATGCATTTGGCCGGGGCGGAACAGCATGAAGCTGTCGTCCGATTGTTTTGCGGGCTGTGGCTCCGAGTTCGGAGACATAGCCCCGAGGCTGTGGATCGATGTTTTCGCTGGGCAGGCTTAAGCAACGAAGCTGAAGCGCTGGTGTGGATGAAAACAGCAGGCAATGGCAGACTTGCGCAGACTCAGGGAGAGGACATGTGTCGCCCCCTCCACATCCCCTCCCTGCTGCCCCTACCCCATACCCCTGTTCCTCCTCTCCCATCCGCCGTCCTTCCACTCCCTCCTCCATCACCCCCCCACCTCGCACCAGCTTCGGGTTTCACCGTGGGCTGGTCTGGTGGTGCGCGAGGGCATTGCGGCCCCCGCCCACCAGCAGCCAGCAAGCTGCAGAGGGCTGAAGTTTGGTGGGAGACGCCTCCGCTGGCTAGGAATCCCTCCTGCTCCTCCCGGATCTGGCGACTCGAGACATCGCGAGTCCCCAGGAAGGGGAGGAGGGAGGCGAGGATCCCGGGTCGAGGCTTCTGGACGCTCGCGTTTCTTTGACCATTCTTGAGGCATCTCGTCGGCACGGCTGGATCCGCCTCGAAGTCCAGGCCCGAGCGTGCCCTTTCGAGAGGCCCTGGAGTCCATAGCGGTGTCCCCTGCGTGCCGATGCGCGGGGCCTCGATGCAGAAGTGGCCCCGCGGACGGCAGGGGTTGCAGTGCGCGACACGTTCGGCCATTCGCCCCCCCTGGCCTCGTCGCTGTGCCTCTCCTTCTCCTGGGGTCCCGCTCGCTCCTCCCCCGTGCTGCCGCGAGCTCCATGGGCGCCTCCGCCACGGCGTTTGGTGCCGCTGCCCGGCGAAGGCTGGGGGCCCGACTCGTCCACGAGCTGTTGGGGGCTCCTCGAGCCCTGGCGGCCGCGAAGCAGAGCACCCCCTCCGCCCTCTCCCCAGAGACCCCCGGAGAGCGGCCGCGGCCCCGCGTCGGCCACTGCAGGCCCTCTGGGGGCCGCCCCTCCTCCCTCGTCCGCCACGGGGGGAGGAGGCGCCAGGCCCCTGGAGCGCGGTGTTGCAAGCCGACTTGCATGGAACTTCGCCCCCCTCCTCCTCCTCCTCCTCCTCCTCCTCCTCCTCCTCCTCCTCCTCCTCCTCCTCCTCCTTTGTCATTCCGATTCTGGCAGGACGACTTGCATGGCACTTCGCCCCCCTCCCTCCGCGCCCCCTCCGCCGCCAGTTCCAAGCCGCGCTGGGCCGAGAGAAGGCATGCAAGTGCGTCCCGACCTGGACCTGCGGGGAGTCCAGACGTCTCTCGGGGCATCGCCTCTCTCCCCCCCCCCCCTCTCCTCCCTCCCCCCTCCTCCTCCTCCTCCTCCTCCTCCTCCTCCTCCTCCTCCTCCTCCTCCTCCCACGGCGACGACGTCCACGCCGACCTCCACGGCCGCGCCGCCGCAGACGCAGACGCCGACGCCGACGACGACGACGGCGACGCCGACGGCGGCGCCGCCGAGGGCCGCCGGGCAGAAGGGGTCGTGAGGTCCAGGTGCTGCCGGGCGGACTGCAGCGGGGTGGCACGACACGTGGGGGGATCCAGGATTGCGGGAAGCTGGCCCCAATTGAAAAAAGGGGGCCCGACTCAGCCGCAAAGCGCCACCCTGGGCCCCAACAGGTGGACGACAGCTTGGCGTTTCTCCACCCCCTTTACAGATCTCCTCCCCCCCCGTCCACGAACACCCAGGCCCGAGACTGGTCGAACCGTCGGTCGCTGCCGAGGCCGGAGGCTTCGCCAGCACTCGGGAGGGCAGCAGTGAGCGGCCAGCTTGGCAGTGCCTGCCCAAGGGAGGGGGGGGCCACGTAGTGGATCGGTGGGCTTCCTGCAGGTCCTCCTGGGTCAGCACAGCCACGTGTAGTTGGTTGAGCGTGTGCGCAGTGCTTTGTTTTACTCTTCCCTCGAGGCCGGGAGAGCCCACTTGAAGGGTTGCGGATCTCGTTCGCTGGCCCCGCTCTTGCTGTTGCTGACTGGCTGGCTTCGCTCTTGCTCTTGCTCTTGTCCGCGTTCCTCTCTGTGGCCAGGGGCAACCACAAGTGGGGGAGGGGCCCGGGGGGGGGACGCATCGACCCCAGTCGCCCATTCATAGCGGATATGGGGCCTGATAGCCCACCCCGCCCAGGAACGTGCGGATTTGCTGTCGGGGGCCCATCGCCGATGCATCGCCAATTCCAGCTCGATGTATCCCCCCCTACCGTTACCCCTCATGTGGCCATTGTCCGTCCTCGGCTTCCCTGTGAGGCGTCGTGCCTCGTGGGGAAGCAGATTGGCGCTGCCCTTCGTGGGGCAAAAGACCTCCTCCTCCTCCTCCTCCTCCTCCTTCTCCCCCTCTGCCGTGCATGGGCCGGGTCTCGTCAGTCTCTCTCCCACGCCGCGCGCGAGGGGTTGCGAATTGGGCCCCCTAGCCCCTGGACGAGCTTCTTTCGCTCGTGCTCTTATCCGCCTTCCTCGCTGCGGCCAGGGTCCCTCTTCTGCCCTCCTGCGGGGCGTCGCGCTTCGTGGAAAACAACAGGTCCTCGTGCCGGCAGGCCAGCATGCTTCCGTTGAGACTGTCAGGTCCGAAGTTCAGTGGATCTCGTCCTCTAAGTCATGGATCCTGTCCTATGGGTAATGAGGAGATGGATCCTGTCCTAATGGTGATGAGGAGGTGTCACCTGCCCTTCCGCTCCTCCTCAGGGGCGCAGGAAGTCCTGAGAATGGTGCGCGCCAAGGTTTCCAGGTGTTCCTGTTATTCCGCGCGGACTCCAGAGAAGAGGGGGACCGCCAGATGTTCCGTGAGCTCCTGGAGCGCATCTTCAGCCGATCGCATCATGACACCATTCTCTCGTCCTGCTCCCTTTCCTGGTGGTGCGTTCTGCCATGAGCTTCAAGATGGACACGGCCGTGAACGCGAGAGCTCCTCCCGCCGGGAGAGGCCCCGAAGACGCCTCAAACTCAGGAGAGGAAAAAACACAGACACACAAGCGTCGATGCCCCAGAAAATAGATAAGATATGGGAATTGGAGGGGAAGGCTAAACTCAAGAAACTAGATATACAATATCATGGCGAAGGACCCAACCATATGCAGTTATGGGCACCGCAAGTGTGACTATCTTCTTCGGCGAGGCTCCCTGTGGGGCCACGAAGCGCTGCACTGCGTTGACGTGAACGCATGCGAGCGGTAGCACAGGGGCCAGCGGTGGAGCTGAGTAAGGAGGACGCATCCGGGCGGTAGCACCAGGGCCTTCGGTGGAGCTCCCTACGGGGCCACGAAGCGCTGTACTGAGTAAGGGGGACGCATGCGGGCGCTAGCACTGGGGCCCTCGGTGGAGCTCCTTGCGGGGCCACGACACGCTGTACTGGGTGGGGGGGAGGCATGCGGGCGGTTGACCTGGGGCCTCC